GAAGTAGAGAAATTCTTCTGTCTTCCAGATTAAAGAACACTCTTTTTTAACTCAAACCCGTCCGAGTGAACTCGGTCAGCTCCAATGGCGGATCCATCTACACTGGCTGATCTTCCTTCCACCAAGCCACCCATCACTCACGTCATCTTCGACATGGACGGCCTTCTACTTGGTAACTTTTCACTGTCTTGAACAGCTCTGATATTCAATCAGTAATTAGATGCTAACCCCTCAGTACAGATTCATGGTGTTTTCCCCCTTCCCAGAAGATCGGGAAACAAATTGTGCCCTAAAAATTGTGTCTTTTCATCGAACATTATCTTTTCAGACATCTTTTTCCTCTCATTGTTACATTGGGCTTTTTTTTTCGTTGTTTATGCTTTCCTTTGTATATTCTCGTGATCCGAATAATGCACCTGCTATTTCAGAGGAAACGATGGTCTTGTTAAAATTTAATTAGAAGTTTTCGTCTTCGAAACGATGGTCTTGTTATGGACTAGCTTGAGTTCATTCAGACACATGACATGACCCTGTTTATAGGATAAATGACAATGAGTTGTTGTAAATTTGCTTAGAATTTGATGTTAGAAATAGACCCTACTTATGGACTTGATAATGGATTGTATTCCAATATATCGACAAAGGACTTCATATTTATGCGCTTTCTAGTTTTCGTTTATCTCTTACGTATTGGTGGCTAGGATGGATGATCTACATTTTTTAACAAATGATTCATGGGTGCTTCATAGTTTCCTTTTCTTTTAGTTAAACGAGTCTGTCGTGGTGTACGGTTTTTTTTTCCTGTTTTTTAACAAAGGCAAGATAAGCTATTTGTGTTTGTCGTTTGAATCTCTCTTGTGCCTGTAAAGAGTAAGTTTTTTCCATTTTTTGTGTCCCAAGTTCATGTAGTTAGCAGCTTTGTGGCTTCATATCCAAATAGAAGCATTTGGTCCTGTTTTTTTCTTATTCAATTTTTTGCTCTTATTTTCTCAGATACGGAGAAATTCTACACAGAAGTCCAGGAGATCATTCTTGCTAGATACAATAAGACTTTTGATTGGTCTCTCAAGGCCAGAATGATGGGTAAGAAGGCAATAGAAGCTGCTCGAGTTTTTGTGGAAGAAACTGGAATCAGTGACTCGCTCTCAGCTGAAGAGTTTCTTGTAGAGAGAGAAGATATGCTGCAAAGTTTATTCCCCTCGTGCCAACTCATGCCTGGTTTAGAATTGACATATTTGATCGCAGAATTGTTCTATCGGTTTTAGCATTCTCGTTGCATTTCGGCATTTCCTTATTTCGTCTTGCTCAAATATATATATGTGCTTAGAATTGTTTGAGCTACAATAGTTAGAAATTATTTTCCTCTGCTGAAAAGCCTCTCGGAACTTATTGCATTTCCACTTTGCACTAGGTTTACATACTTGTACATATTGGTCAAATTTTATATTTATGCCTTAAATTTAATCTAATGAATATATTATTTAACTCTTGGTACTTAGGAAAAAGATAAATCTCAACTTAATGCTTTCAAATAGTGAAAAATAAATTGTATCAGTTTCTAACATCCAAAGATCTTATGAACAAAATAATCATCAGATAGGAACCCTCTGTTTAGTCCTCCATTTTGGAAGTTCTTTATAAGTTTCAATCAATCCTCTGAGATCACGACCTCTGTCTGGTTTTGTGAGTTAATCTATCCCAGTGATAAAATTTTCTGTATGTTCTCGGTAGAGTTTAATTACTGGTTTTCTCTTTTCCTAGAATTTGAAAGCCTAATACAAATATTTTTAGACTTTAGTTTTACTTTAGTTTTTCTAGAGTTCAATTGGTGTTTTATTAAAAAAAAACACTACATTTGGATGCTGCTAATATTTCTACTTCCCATCATATCTTTGATTTACAGGGGCCAGCCGTTTAATTCAGCACCTCCATGCAAATGGAGTTCCTATTTGTGTTGCAACTGGGTAAGTTCCTTGTTTTCTTTAATTTTTTTTTTCTTTGCATTGTTCTCGAAGTAGATTTAGGACGTGAAATTGGTAAAATATCATTCGACACGTTTAGCAAGCTTGCTCATTGATCTTTTTTACCTTGTTGCAGTTCACACAAAAGGCATTTTGAGCTGAAAACACAAAACCATCGTGAAATATTTTCACTGATGCATCATGTAGTTCTCGGTGATGATCCAGAAGTCAAACAAGGGAAACCTTCACCCGATGTATTCATTGCAGCTGCCAAAAGATTTGAGGTTAATTATAAAAAAAAAAAAAAAAAAAACTGCACGAAGATATAAATAATAGTGGAAGGAAAGAGTATTTTGGAGCAGAAAATGTTGGAGTTACTAACTGTGATTCGATTTTGATCAACACTAGTAGATTATAGAAGAATGGCGAGATGTGATTTTATATTTTTTGTTCTCCAATGAAAAGGTTTATTTATTTAATCATCGTGCCTTAATTAAATTTGGGACTCTTTATACTTTTCTATAAACTGATTCACATGAGATAATTCAAGTTGCTCGTGTATTAGAAATCAAGAAGTATCAGATAAAATGATTATTGTTCGTTTTGCAGGGTGGACCAGTTGATCCACAAAAGATACTGGTTTTCGAAGATGCGCCATCTGGCGTATTGGCAGCTAAGAATGCCGGCATGTAAGTTCTTGTTCGTCCCTTGATTCTTTGCAAGAAAAATTTTCAACTGACTACAAGATAAAAATCCATGCACACAGAAAAAATCTGTTAAAATCTGCAGTTCAGTTTTTTACTTTTTTTTTCCTTCGTACACAATTACACATAGAAAGAACTTGTTGAATAACGATATGCTTATATACATAAGCTCAGAATCAGTAAACGAAATCACAATATTTGTTAGGAAGGTTCATGCAAAAAAAAAAAATAAATAAATAAAAAAAATAATTTCTTTGAAAATCCATGGTAATTCTTACCGAATCTTACCGTGCAGGTCAGTGGTAATGATTCCAGATCCAAGGCTGGACAATTCATACCATCAAACTTCAGATAAGGTTATAAGCTCTCTCTTTGGTTTCAACCCAAGCGAGTGGGGCCTACCCCCTTTCGAAAAATCCGGAGCTTAATTTCACATTCGATCAAGAAAAAGTTGGATAGTTGTATGAATCTTGAGAACAAATCCGACATTGTCTTTGGATGTGGCTGATAAATTATTGCAGGATAGCCCGTAAATAACGTAAGGTCGATGAGAAAAATATGTAGATTTTGGGTTGATATTTTTGTTTTTAATTTTATTTTTATTGTTTGATTGTTTTCCTGAGAATGTGATGATTGAATTTGCATGATATTTCAAATGTATGCTGGTTCGAGCCTTTTAATCGATTTGTTTGAGCTTTTTTAGCTGAATATATATTGGGTGCGTAGAATTTTTTTTCGAACCAAGTTGTTGCGAGCACAACATGGTTTAGCTCGAGAAGCTTTTTTAGCCTTTTGATCGACTAAAATGTGATCGAGAAGCTACCGGGATTTACTGGTAAACTGTTGTTCAAGCTTTAAACCAAGTATGCCTCTTCAATTTCTCCGGCCATTTTTTCCTTTTTTTTTTTTATGTACACAGTAAGAAAATGTTCTTGTCTCGATTTTACGGATCTGATTGGGTAACTGAGGAATTATTTATAAGTACAGTGGAGTTAAAATGTAGGAAATTGAGTGTAATAGCTCAAATTTGAGTTAGGATGCAGATGTTTACAGTTAACGTAGGTACTTAATGGAGGGCAATTTCGTCTTAATGATAACGTGCTTTACATGCCTCGACTTTAATTAGACTCCGTTGGTTTCCTTCTCACTTTTCAAGCAATGTTCTTAAATTCACATACCACCCAAATAACATATACATTTAAGTGAATTTTTTACTAGCTTCGTATCAGATTTAGTTGCTCGAGTTTGTCCTTCTAACCTTGTTAACTGCTCAGTTAACAAATGAATCTTTTCTTAGAAAGACATACGTTTGAACCGAGAGAACTACATTAGAGCTACAGATGTAAGGTTGTGTTTATGTCTCACAAAAAATTATAAAAACTAGTTTTCAAGCATGAATTAATAAATAAAAGCAGCAGGATTAACCGGGGGCATGATTTGTTCTCAGCATCTCTGGTGACTCGTACTCCGGCATTACCATTCCTCTTGTTGTGAACCAAGTGTATCGTAGTTTACTATTCTCTACTTTCTAACATCCCCAGAAGGCTCTTCATATTTGAAATTAAGGTGTGTATATATATATATATATATACCAGTCGATCAAGCGAGCTTGCTAACAACTCGACCCATATAACATTTTGTAGAGGTTTAATTAATCGATTCGGCACAGCCAAGTTGGACACGTTAAGGCTCTTCTTTTCATCCACACCGTTCGAAATACAGTGCCTTATCACCAAACTTTCACGAACAAAAGTTATCGAGTTTGAACCACACATAAGGAATACATGCCAATGAATAACCGGAGACACAAATAACCGGAGACACACATCAGGAAAATAATTTTATTTATTTGCTAAGAACTATTTAGATTAACTAATGGCATTGTGTGTGTTTTGAAGTAGCAAAATATAGTTATTCTATATGCAGAATTATTGACTCAATTATTAATGGTCCCAACTCCCAACAACTGTGCAATAATGTTTGTCTTGTACCTCTCTACTCAACTCAAAAGTCCAGATCTAATTATCAAATTCACACACACACACACACACACACACATGATCATCATCTGAGTGAGTCTCTAATTCATTTTCTTCTTCAATTCACCTGAGAAAAATCAATATTGCTTGCTAGCTGCTTTCAGTTCTCATCTTATTACAGTTCTTCTTCCTACCTAGCTATTGATTTCAGCAAACAGGGGATCTAATCTAATCCATGGCGGCAGCTTATGGAGCTCTGCTTTCTCTTACAAACACCATACACCAAATCCAGAATCACCCTCGCCCACCCATCTCCCTCCACAAAACACGAATCCAACCTCTCATAGAAAAAGTTGCTTTCTTGCAAGATTTTCTTGAAAACTATGTTATTGACGACGATGACACATATGATTTGGCGGGGCGTATGGTCGATGCAGCTCACGAAGCAGAAGATATAATTGAGTCCCACATTGCCGATCATATCAAGGTTCGTGGGAAAAGCCGTTTGTATCGATACCTACAGAAAATGACACAAAAAATGACTCTTTGTATCAACAACAACAACAGTCTGAAGAAAGACTCCATCGAGTCCCATATTGCCGATCATAGCGAGACTCGTGGTGAAGCTAACATAACTTGGCACCACGACGACTCTTGTTTGTACCGAGAGCTACATAAAGTGATGTACGACTTTGATTCCATCACAAAAGACGTGGCTGCTGCTATTAAAGACAAAGGCCTGAAGAAAATAGTTGACGCCACCACAGAAGACGATGTCATGAACGACGATGTCATCCTGGATAAGCTGACCAACAGTCCTTATTCGGAGGGGGCGGGGGGTTCCAATGACGTCATGATCGACGTCATGGGTAAGCTTACCGATAGACAATCCAGTCGTTGGATCATTGGCATTGCCGGCATGGGTGGAATTGGTAAGACCACTCTTGCAAAAAATATTTATGAACATCCTCTGATTGTGGAACACTTTGATATGCGGGGATGGTCTACAATTTCTCAAGAATATAATTCCAAAAGAATCCTGTTAGATGTCCTTCACTGTATAGGGTGTAATGTGGGTGAGGACAGCGAATATGAAGAATTAGGAAATAAATTGTATCAGAGCTTATTTGGCAGGCGGTGTCTGATTGTGATGGATGACATTTGGGGTACGGACGCTTGGGAAGAGGTGAAGCGCTTCTTTCCAAATAACGACGACGACGACGACGGGAGCAGAGTACTAATAACAACTAGGGCATCGAAAGTGGCTTTGCAAATGGATGGCCGAGACTACTTTCAAATGCCTTTTCTGAATCTGGACGAAAGTTGGAATCTTCTGCAAAGGTGCGTGTTTGGGGAAAAACAAGGGTGGCCTCCGGAATTGGAAGAGATTGGGAAGGAGATTGCCGAAAAATGCAGAGGCCTCCCATTGTCGATTGTCGTGATTGGAGGACTCCTAGCAAAGTCTGAGCAGACAAGTGAGAAGTGGCAACATATTTTAAAAAATATAAGCTCGATTGTGAATTTAGAGGAAGACGAACGTTGCTTCCAAATACTAAAGTTGAGCTACAATCAACTGCCGGTCCAACTGAAGCCGTGTTTTCTGTACATGGGCATGTTCCGAGAGGACCAGGTGATTTACGTCCCTAGGCTCCTTGACCTATGGGTTGGTGAAGGATTGGTGAAACCGGCTGCAGGTAAAAGCTTGGAAACAATTGCGAGAGAAGTGTGCCTAAACGATCTCGTTTGCAGAAACCTAATCATGGTTCGTAAGTGGGACTTTAATCGAGGGATAATAGAGTGCAACATCCACGATCTATTGAGGGACCTATGCATAAAGGAAGCCGAGAAATATAAATTCTTCCGCACAACACCGCGCAATTACTGTTCTGTCCACGACCAAAGCCAGCATGCCCAATGCTGTATCAACATTATTCAACGGAAGAAATACAACCATCCCCTCCCACTCCCTGAAGCTGTGCAATCCGCAACACGCGCGCGAACTCTAATATTGATCGGTGAAATTATTTTACCATCTTTAGTTCGCTTTAAACTGCTGAGGGTTCTGATCACTCCATACCATAGAATTTCATTTTCAGGAGAACTTATTCATATGGTCAACTTGCGCCACCTGAATATCATAGTTAATCTGCCGGAGCGTGAATTTCCTCCAGAAATTTACCTACTCTGGAATTTACGGACTTTACGTATACGTCTTGAGCGCGGTTGCCCTGCGATGCTGGACATCTGGCAGATGCCCCAACTTAGGCACGTCGAGGTATACAGCTCGTTCCAGCTCACGAATCCTCCTCCTCCTCCTCCTCCTCCTCCTCCTCCTCATGTGGATGTTTTAAAAAATGGTTGGATGGTGTTGGAGAATCTAGAGACGCTGGAGTTGGTATATAACTTGAGGTTGGGTGAGGAAGTGATTGAGAGAATCCCCAATATCAAGAGGCTCGGAATAACCAACCGAGGCGCTGATTTTGGTCTCGACAGTCTCTGCCGGCTACATAATCTGGAGGCCCTTGCCCTTGACCTCTCTGTTTATCCGAGGAAAAGTGAGGTGATGATCATGTTCCCGGTTTCGCTCAGGAGGCTGACTCTGTATCGTGCGGAATACATGTGGGAGGAGATGGGGACCATGATAGGGTCCTTGCCACATCTCGAGGCCCTCGAGATATGCAATCATGCGTTCGAGGGGCCAGAGTGGGAAACAACCGAGGGTGGATTCCTGAGCCTGAAATACTTGGTAATCTCGGGATGCTATCTTGAACAGTGGAGGGTGGAGGCCACGCACTTTCCGTGCCTCCAGCGGCTCGACCTATATTACCTAGATAAGCTGAAGGAGATCCCATTGGGAATTGGGGAGATAACCACACTTAGGGAGATCCAGGTGCGTTGTTGCCTGGCCTCTGCCGTGCTTTCTGCAAAGGAGATATTAGAGGTACAAGAGGAATGCTTTGGAGAAGTGGAGCTTCAGATTAGAGTTGAGCTATATAAAGATGACACCCAACTACCCGACTTGACAAGTAGTCGGAACTTTACGGTTGAAAGGAATATTGGCAAGAATTGGTGAAACCGGTTGCCGGTAAAAGCTTGAAAACAATTGTGAGAGTAGTGTACCTGAATGACTCGTTCTGATCAGAAACCTAATTGTTGTTCCTGAGTAGGGCTTTAGTCGAAGGATAAAAAGGTGCAGCATATATCCACTACGTTCTTTCGTGAAAAAATGCATATGTTTCAGTAGCTTGAGTTTAGCAGCTATTAACATATATCTTCTTAATTTGGTTCTTACAGGGACCAGCGGGCCACAGAGCACCGGAGTTGAAGCCCCAAGAATGCTTTGCGATGATCTATAGGCGGTTTGAGCAAAACTCACTTTAGAATCACCTCCTTTGGAGCATATATATATTATATATACATTACTGTTTCCAAATATTTTTATGTATTTAAACGAACACATATTGTTGTGTGAAGCACTCTAACCGTTAGGTGGGTCGACCCAACATACTTTTGTGACTAATTAAAAATGTATATCTATATTGAAGTGTGGTAGTGTGAAAATATCAATGCTGCATTCATAATCTGTACTATGAATATTGAATATTTTATCTTACACATTAAACCAAAATGTCATGATATCTTGCAAATAATATAAATAAAATTGTGATATTTTACAATGTAAAAAAGAAAAAAAAAAAATACAGTTATATTAAGAAAAACAGACACACCGTTTCTTTGTTAAGGAATATCATTTCCCACAATTGCACTAGACAATCTGGTGTACTCTACATTCCCATACAAATTCACATCTTCACCACATTCCTTCTTGCACTGGAAATAGAACACCGTATAGACCATGAACACGATCATCTTGAAGGTCGAAAACAAGTTCACGAACCACAAACCACATGCTGTATAACCCATTCCGTACCCGATATACTCCACGACCAAAACTGACCCGAAAACAACCACAAAAATCAGGTTAAGTAACACATTTATCGCGAAACCCTTCCACTGATGCCCCTTAACAAGATTTCCCGCTCTTTCCACGGCCTCGCCTGGAAATCCTTCCTCCAAAACCGAAACCACGTACACCAAGACCCGAACGACTGACTCGTGCAGCTGGAAACCGATGATCCCGATCCCGATTACAACCGCACAGAAAACCGTGAAAACATTAACCGGGCTTGCCGCCGCCAAGAACACCACGACAAGGACAAATGTCAAGTAGCGTGTCGAGTGGCTCGAAAATCGGAAGCTAGCAAAAATCGGCATTTTCCACGTGCGTTTAACGTCCGTGAAAAGTTGTTCCCACGACAGGTCGCGGTCGGTGTAGGAAGCCGAGGACACTAAAACGGTCGCGATCCCGAGCACGTGGGAGACCGCGACAAAAACAAGCAAAAACACAATCTCGACTACGAAAAAGAGATATAAATCCGACCCGTCCAGAAGTGATCGGTAGAAGCTGATTAATGAGAGTAGAAGGATGGATGGGAGGATTAAGGAAAGTAAGAGGATTGTCGACGAAAACTTTCTATTTTTAGAAAGTATTTTGGTGGACTCTCTTAGGATTGTCAAGAAACTGAAGGCTTCGGAGAATTTCATGTTGCCTGAATTGGGTTGTGTATGGAAATGTGTGTTTGATGTTGTGATCTGTTCTTGTGGGCTGGGATTTAAGAAAATGGTGATAGTATGAGTTGGCGTGTGGGGAAATTGACCGGGTCGGGTCTTATGAAAAAGTCAACTCGGAATGTTCACTTTGGTGGTTGTATATGTGAATTATGAAGGTTGGTTGCATGTATACTATGGTGTATTTATTTGAGATGTTGAATCATATTTTGAGATTTTTGAATTAAGTATAGAGTAAGGCTCCGTTACGAAACTATTCTGTTGGGAGTTTTATTTGTTAGATGCACATGTAGATTAGGCGCTAGGTGGCACTTCAACGACACATTCTTTAGGTGGCTCTTATAATTTTAGCCTAATTTGTTCTTCTCTATCTAGGAGTCATTATGATAGTTTCACGCTTAAGTTTTAATTGGGTGACTCACGTTAAATTTGTGTCAAGACGTTCGTTACCACAAATTTGTAACTCTATTAGATTTCATTAGCCTACTCAATTTTTCGCCAAAAATAAACTGAGTTGTTCAATATTGGACCTAATTCTGGTGCGACTCACATTAATTTTAAATATATGATCCAACGTTGAATTCTTATATTTGAAACAATCGTATACCCAGAATTTCATCAATTGGAGTTCATTTGCTCAGTCAATTGTCCATCCAAACTTATATGCACAAAAGCATTTTTTGCCCGTGATTAGCCCGTGATCAACTTGCGCCTTGACTCGGTGATCGTGATAGATTAAATATTCCGACCTTTATCTTTTTTAATAATTAATTTACCTTATTTAGTGAATTATTTAAATTAATGTATTTCATAACCAACGTTTTGGAACTTTTGGATAAAACTGGAGGTTTGATGACAATTAGAACTCCTAATATAATTGTTTGGTAAATATTGGAACATCTGTGTATAAAAAAAAAATGAAAAAGTTCATAAGAGAAGCTTTTTGAAATAACAGATTGCAAATGTAAAAAATTGAGGAAAAACGATGCGGTCCCACTAACATGAAGCATACTATAAGCGGGAAAAGCTCATATGAAGCTCAAATGAGGTTTCATCCCAAAACCTAGAAGGAGGAGTAGCTCATTAGACTTATAAGGTGAGTCTATTTTCCATGTATAAATGATGTGAGACAACTCACAAATGATATTCTAACAGCAAAATTAGTTGATACACATCAAATTGGTAATTATTTACTATTAATTTCTATAATCATGCTAATTTAATAACTTTTCGAATTATCACTTATGACATGTGAAAGAAATAATTAATTTATTAATTATATATCTTGTTTTATTTTAGGTTTATGTTAAAAAATAAATAAAGACATTAATTAATAATATATAAAACTTCGGTATTCTACAATTGCATTTTGTTTAAAATGAAAGAAAAAATGCAGAGAAAAAGAAAAAAAAAAAATCAGTAATTTCAAATTTCTTATTTTCATTTTAATAAAATTGGAATTGCTACTAGAGACAGAAATTTGTTTTAATTTACGTGGTCCAGACGAGATGATTTGAGTTTGGTATTCGTATAGTTGAAATGGTCAAAGCAAGTGTTCAAAGGATATTTGGATAACCGCCGACGTGCGCAACTTTTCATTCTGGAATATTAATCGCTAATTGATGGAATAATTACTTAATTATAGTGATAACATGATTTGATAAAATTTATTAGTATAGAATCTATATATATATAATTACTAGCTAATCCTATTTAATAAAACATTTAATAAAAATATTTTCACTTTCCCTCCAAAAAGAGTTACATATTTTTAATTAATTACCCATTAATCCCACATTTAAGAAGGTTTTTTAGTTAAATCTAATTAGTTAATGGCTAAATAAAAAATGTTTCTTTTAGTTAATCCCACATTTATGTATTTTATTTTCATTTATATATATTAATGTGGCAATCATTATTGTTGTGCAGAAACTATATATTATTATTTTATATTCCATTATGAATTGAATAAGCAATTAAAGTTAAAATAAATATTAATAAATGTAATAAATACAAACATTATAATACAGATCATGTTATATTACAATATACAAAATGAAATTATTTTTTTGTATTTAATTTCCAGCCATACTCCATCAAACATATAGCTGCAAAATAATAAGAAAGATTAGTTTCATAGTTAAAATAAAAATTTAGCTCCACCAAATGGTAAAACCTTATAAATTAGTAGTATAGATACATTAAATGACATATAATTTATAAAGTTGGACTATACGCATAATAAGATGAATTAAAAAAAATTAATGAAGTAAATAAATAAATTAACAGTCTATATAATTATTATAACAAAGTCTATATTGTCAATATTATCATTTAAAAAGTTCACTGAAAAAACATATGTATAAAATAAATTCATATGATCATAATTAATAGAGCAAAATTAACTATCTTTGACTTTCCATTTGGTAGTAATAATAAATATTTTATATTACTAATATTCAATAAAATGCATGATATCTGCAGATTTGATTATCACAATCAACATTCTATTTTATAAATTAAAAAGTGTGCTGAATAAATTGTCTCATATTTTTCATTAAAAAAATTTGTTGGCCTTAAAAAAAATATTATTTAACAATTATAAATATAAATATGATTAATTTTCATTAAACAATTCCTCTTTAAAAACTAAAGTGGCGGGACAAATATCTGCATGATTATAGCATCAAAACATATCCAAAACATCAATATTTTAATGCATTAAAAACCATACTTTCAGCAACAGAAAAGTCATATTAAACGGAAATTGGCAAAGTCAAAGAATGAGGATTGACAAGGCATTGTATGTCATGGCATTGTCTGTAATTGTAGATTGTTTGTATAATATAGAAATATCAAGCATAATTAATAATCAACAAAAAAAAAGTCAAATCTATATGAAAAAAAAAATATCAAAATTAAAAACACAACAAATTATGTGTAACATTATTGGATATTATATAATATAGAAAGAAAAATAATTTGATTTCCTATCATTATCATCACATTCAACTTTTACCAAGACATCTGCCTTTATATTAAAATCGATTTTTTGCGTAAAAGTTTTAAAAATAAAAATTACTACAGGTTCTTTTAAACATTAAACAAGAAATTCCTAATATGCGATAAATATATCTAAACAGATTTGGTATAAACTTACCTAATATTTCCAATTTTTGAACAAAATACTAAAAACTTTGAAAAACTTCAGCAAAAGACTTTGAACAACTTCGAAAAACGATTTTGAACAAGTGTTAGCAAAGCTTCACTTACTGATATGATGAGAAAGACGAGAAAGAATTGAACTATTTAGTGTTCAAAATCTGAACAAAATACATATAAGTTACATATGTATGTTATAATCAGAGATGAACAGATATGTTATAAGCTTACCTATATATTTGTTAGTAGAGATGAACAGATCTGTTAGAAACTTACCTATTTTTCAAACCCTGGACAAAATACATAAAAGTTTGAAAATATTCGACCAATGTCATGTTCTTTTCGAAAAACGATTTTGAAAAACATCTAAATATTTTGAATTATGTATAAGATATGATATATCTTTGAAGCTTATTCAAAAAGAATTTCGAAAAACGACACAAATTATTGAAAATAATAAAAAATTAAAAATATGTTTAACAAAAAATATTTCAGCTCTTCATAGATTTGTAATATAATCTCCCCATTTTGACCGACATGTTAAGATTTAGCAACACATATTAAGAAATCGAGACGAATATTTATTTTTCGATCACTACTGTTAGCCACAAAAACAACATTTTTCGTTTTTTTTTTTTAATCCATTACTGGGAGAAAATCTCCGGTAAAACATTTGTTTTGTATTGAATCTCGCCGAGTTTGTCGTAAGATCGGGTTAAGGATTAGGATTTCAGACAAAGATAATAACGAAATAAGTGCCGGCATCAAACAAAAAAATTGACTTACATCACTCAAGGAGTTTATTTCTATTCATAGTCATGTTATCATTGACCTGTTTAATATTTGATTTTGGCTACCCTAAAAAATTAAGTGGACTTCTAATTTGAGCTTTTTTTTTTTATCATTCAATCAATATATTTCTTTATGGCCCAAAAATTGCCATTTTGTTCAAATGTCTTAAATATTTGGCACATATCATTATTTATCAACCAAATACAATTATTTATTTTATAATATTTTGCTGGTATTTTTTAGTATTTTTTAAAAAAATTTCCTATATGATCTATAGTACAAAATACAATAATTATTTAAAAAATAAAACCATTATATGTCTTAATTTGAAGATAGTGATTTGTAGTGATGGAGATTCTGTTGATAGAAAAACCACAAACATTGTATATAAAGAATTGTTTAAAATATATATTTTTTTTAGAACATTTTTTCAATGATTATATTATGATTTTTACTATTGTTTATATCTTTTTATTATTTTTTGTTCTATTATATTGCTTTCCGTGCAAATGCACGGGTTAAAAACTAGTATAATATATACACGCATCTATACTTATATAAAAAATCATCATATTTACTAAAATTAGTAGTAAAAAAAGTCAAAGGTAATTAATGCATTCTATTTTCATCAAGTATTTTATTTAATTATTTATTTAATTATTTTATTTCATAACACCTTTTCAATACAATTTTATCATGATTTTTCTATTGTGATTAAAATCCAGATTTTACGTTTAAAATCTTGTGAAATTATGGTTATTATTTTTATAAAGCACATATTATTTGTTTAAAAATTGTATATATATACACATCTCAGTACCATGGTAGATGATTTAAATTTCAACCCAACAAAATGCTAATGATTTAAATTTGAACACAACTATGCATTTGACAAAATTTATGGATGATTAAATTTGAACACACCAGAAATTTTATGTACTTTTTATTTATAAATATATTGAAAGTGATATTTAATGTTTGTTATATATTGTTGTTATATTATCAAATTATAAAAAGATATT